GATCAATTTGATTTCCCGAATTCTGTGAAGACTGTATTGTGTCGAAACTTCGATGGAGGGCACTGATGGCAATGATCGCATGACGGACAGCCGGCTCCTCCTCACTAACCTGATGAACCATTCGATGCCAAAATTCGAGTGGAAAGTAGCCTGAGCATTGCGCAGCCGTGCTGGTGCGAAAGAAACCCAGATACCAACGTTCAGACAGCGACAGATCCGTCTGGCTCGGATCGACTAATAGGCGGGAAATCCAGGCACCGCCTTCCTTCGCCACAGTGAGTTGTTTCTGCTGAACTTCGATTTCTCTCTTGCATGGGACGTCAATGGTAGCTTTAGTAGTTTTCCAGGCTCGAGTTCTTCGATCGATGGTGTCCTGATAGCCGCCGCACTCGCGCCCTGCGTTGGTACAGGTGCGACAATACGGGCGAGCCTCGTCACATTTCTTACGCCGGGACCTATCAAACTGGGAATTAGTACATACATAATTGCCTATCCAATGTTCCCAGGTCAGGGGCAGCCGGAGCGATAACCTAATTGGATTATCGCGCGTCGTTGGGCGACCTTACTTGCAGGTAACACAGCCAGTGCGTACCTTGGGACGGCTCGCCCGTGACCGTCGCTCCATCGGTGGTGTGTGCAGAGGGTCCATTTTTAAATCTTCTTGGGCCTCTTCCAGATCTCGCATGTACAGGTGCATTGCGTAACTGACGGGTTGGAGCAGTGAAACACGAGGGTGCGTGCGGCGGTTCTGCCGAGAGGAGTGGAGACTGCCATCGAACTATCGTCGAAGATCGGCGTTTTCGCTTAACTTCATTGGTCCAGAGGCTCGGACGAGGAAATCTTTGGTCGGTTCTCGGTTGGTCGGCGTATATGCAGCCCATCCTTTTAAGAGCTGCGTGGCCTATTGTGTACGTATCCTCAATCGGTAGCCTGGTGTGAATGGGCTGAGCTGGTAACAAAGTGACTATCGCAGTAACCATTTTGATTGATCGCGAATTGAGTACCTGAATGATCGTCCTTCTGTATCCCTTTCTTCCTATCCGCAATAAAACTTCTCTCGAGCCTCTTCTCTGACGAGACCAATCAGTTAAGATCAGCGTCAGTGCATGTCCTGCTGCCTGTTGGAGCATAATCCGTAGCCTAATAGTAGTAGCACCTGCTTTTAGATTACAGTGACAAGAAACGCAACAGAGATAATCACTTACACACTTCGCGCAGCCGATGCTTGGGCCAGCCTCAGTGTAAGAAGCGGCGAATTGACACCCCTGCTTGCCACCCTTCACGAAAGGACAATCGTTACCAGCTAGTGTACTGTTTGTACTGTTAGAGACTGGCGGTTGCTGTTTGTTTGGGGTACATATATAATCAGCTAAACAAATCCAAAAATCTCCTCTGGAGTTCCACGGGCAGAAGAAGCAACGTACAAATGAGATAGCATAGTCATTGGAGAATCGCCTTATGTCCAGGATGTCGGTGACTGCGCTGCGGGGGATAGTGACATTGCACGCCTGTCCAATCCGCTTAAAACCAAGTTAAATAATTTCTTCTGTATCCTTTCCACAGCTCCCACAGCCGAAGCCGCCGAAATTATCCTCTTTGATGAATTTGAATCCATCACATCCCCACCCCTGTGCCAATGAGACAGAGCCGAAAATGAAAGGGAGGATGGCCAAGGAAAGACGCATGGTGGCAAGATGGAGGTGGAAAGTGGATGTGGGAGGGAGAGAGACGATGAGATTGGAGTCATCGGCTCATTCTCTGATATATAGTTACCAGAGGGGAAATTACTTCCAAAAAGCTCCTCGGTTCCGAAACTCCATTTCTTTTCTCTACTATTGAATTTATTCCAGTGGATTTGTGGGTAGGACTGGACGATCTATGATGCAAATCTATGTCCGATTCCCTTTAACAAGTGATGATGCTATCGCGATCTTCAGAAAGAACCTGCGGTGTACGAAGAAATTAAATAGACAGTTTAAAAAAGCTCTCCACCCGGGACATTATTGAACTTAATATAGTATGGATCAGTAACCGGTCTGCGGGGGGGTGGGTCGATCTGTTCTGGCATAAGGATCTCGGGGCTTTGGTATGTCCAGTTATGAAGTTATTATCACTCGACTACGATGGAGAGACACCAACCACCACCACACTACTACCTTTATATACCAATAGATGAGAACCTGAGAGAGAGAGAGAGAGAGAGAGAGAGAGAGAGAAAGGTAGCTATTTACCAACCACAGTTGAAATAGAGTACAGAAACCTTGACAAAAGGGCAGGATCTCGACAAGCTGCAATGTACCTACGTATTGAGATAGGGTGTGTTCGTATATCGCTTCCTTCTAGAAAATTTGCCAGCTACACAATATACGGAGTATTCTGTGTACAAAAATATACTACGTATGTGCAAAAGTAATTGAACCCCTTGCCACAGTGATTCCGACAGCTCCACCCACGGTCTCTAGGCACATTATTGGGCAAGCCACGATGATCCCTGATGATCATTATTTCGGTGGTGCGGCTGAACTTCAGCATTGGTGGCATTCGGCCGAAGCTACCATGAAGTCTTCCGATACTTATCTATAAAAACAAACAGAGATCTGCATCAGACTACGAAGTAGTTCACGTATCCTGTAAGCGAGCTTCAGTGGAAAGGCCTTTTTAATTCTGGTATACAAGTCGGAAAAGAACTCCGTCAGAACTATCCATCATCCCCCTCGTTGGTGGAAGGCAAAACCCGTGCCAGAAATGCCACATTGTAACAATTACATGTCGAAAATGAGGATCTGTGAAATGAACGCTGAAATTGACCACCATTGGGGGTAGTTAACAGTCTCATTTCCACTTATAACTCTCACCTTCTGGCTGCCGCTCTAACCCCACGTCACGTGCTTGGAGAATATCAGAATAAAAATACCTGGCATACATCAATAATACAACGCCCAATAAAAGAATGAATGAAAGTCTGGATTCCTGAATAATGTCATTCGAGAAGGACATGTATAGTATGCTATCGCATCGTGCATCATTTCCTCCATACCCACGCAGTTCGGAATATGTAACTCATACATGGTATCAAGCCCATGGCTTTGGCTTTCAGATATATTGTGTGACTTTTAAGTAAGCAATTGAACATGCATACTTACATACGTAGCCGCTCAATAAGCCAGGCCTTCAAAGTAAGACCCTGTTCGGTTTCATTCGTCTCGGCAAACAACGGCCAAATAAGAGGTGCAACGTGACACTCATTCTGACCAACAATCAAAGTCGTTTCAGGTTTCACCTCCTGCAAGTCATTAGCGCTGCCAATAAGTTGCATCAAGGTTAGGTCTCATATGACATACGCTGAATTTCTTGAACCACGCCTCAATAGAATCCAGGAGCATCTCATCGCCTCCTGCAAGAACGAGAGTGTGCTCCACTTGGGCGTCTTGCCACCAGGTTTCAGGCGCCTCGAGTGCTTCAACATAATAGTTCGTTGATCTCCCATGCAAATATCCCTGTTTCCATCGTTCTAGCACTTTCTGGTCGTCAATGTCTTTATGCTCGTTGAGCTTCATGGTAGGCCAATCCTGGCGGAAGGAGAGCCAAGGTGACAGAAGAACGATTGCTTTGAGCGGAGCACTGATTTTCAGTGCCGGCGCATCTTCAGATGGATGAGACAAGTGGGACAGAAGTGCAAGACACAAATTTGCTCCTGCGGAATCGCCAGCAAGGATAATCTCCGATGGGGATCGTCCAAGTTCTTCAATGACATACCGTAGAGCTTCGACTGCCTCGCAAAATTGTGTTGGATATGTAGCGTGTGGTGCCAAGGTATAGGTCACATTGAGCCAGCCGGTACTGATACTCTCATCGGCAAGTGCCCTTGCCACGCCAGGCCAAAACTCGAGATACGATTCAGTTGCATCCATGGCAAATCCTCCACCTGTGTCATTGCCCTTAGCATCATTTTCGGGGGTTCGAATTTAGTGCTTACCGTGAAAGTTGATCACAACGTATTTCGCAGTTGGTGAACCAAGCCAGAACCCTTTCAGGCCGCGCTCATTGGAAACGAAGTTAGGCTTGACTCCGATCTTTCCACAATACTCTAGGTAGAGCTGGTCATAGGACTTGAAAATATATCTATTCCCCCCTTGTCAGCGTCCACACGGCCCTTCAAGATTGTAGCTTGTACGAACTGGAGCTGTAGCGGACTGAATCTACTAGTAAGCTGTAGATACTGGTAAGCATTCGATTCATGTAAAATCATGTCTTTGATAGGAGAAGCTACTTTTTTGACTGTGGCTTGTATGACATGGTGATGATAGCTATCTGCCCCGGATGGACCACGAAAAGGGCCGAATATAGCAGCAGATACAATTGTTGCCCCTTTATGACAATATTCAAATGAGTGTCAAAGACACGAAAAACATTGATGGGTATGACTTACCTACAGAGACCCAGCCTAGCCAGGTATCGATCGTTTCCCATATTCCCAACTTATGTTTCATCATTGGCTATTTGCAATTAATGCTTGCGGAATTTACGATGGTCATTTCAAACTCCATATTCTTTAAGTACTTGCTACGATTTCTACATTGAGCACACATGCTGCACGGCTTGATTAGTATTCAGCTCTACTACCGAGGTATAATGCTAGCTTCGCTTCGCTCAACTGCGCGATAACTGATCATTTAGTTGTGGAAAAGTAAGGTTCATGTGAACCTCGAGGAACATTTTATCAATATGGGGTTGAGACATTCTACCGAGGACACGTAGATTATGTTCGTAGACGGGGCCATGGGAAATCTTGATAGGGTTTTGGATTATGGCCTATTCTCTGTATTCCAACCGCAGCTCAGGTCTTGTGAAGCTCTGATATGGGATAATGTTTCTTTGGTCCATAATACTGCTAGCTACGCGAAAATTGCAAAAGGTTACACTCAACTCTTCAACATCCGAAACCTGATCACCAATGTCCAGTCGTGACCTTTCCGTAAGGAGACACAATCCAAGGGTGTCTATAGCTTCATCCTAGCTAGTCTCTCCTGCCCCTTATCCGTAAACAACAGTAGCCCATTCACATAACCGATCACCCAGAGCGCTGGATACCGCCAGTGGAACCACATGGGATGGTCAGAGGCCCCGAACCATCCAAAGTGTCTGTCCAGGCTGTAGCAGAGGTAATTGCATGTACTGAGAACCAACAACGTCAAGATTCCAGTGAATTGAGCAGCCTTCTTTCCGTAGTAGTGGTCGACAATGAAGGAGTTTATAAGGCCGCCCATGGTTCCACCCATCCCTAGGGGGCAGAACACAAGCGTCCACATAACCTTGTAGAAGAGGTCGCATGTGCCGGTCATGATGAAAACACCGACGGTAAGGAAGATGACTTCGATGAACAGACAGTTGAGCCAGAAGAGGAGGAAAGGACGGATGTAGATGATACGCCGTTTATGCGCTGTTTTGTAGTCATCTGGCGTAGTGATGATTGGTTGATATTGGGCCATGGTGAGGGTAGTCGAATAGAATAGTATGTAACTGTGCAAGAAAGAATATCGCGCAGGGAAGAATGAGATGTTGGTAGAACTTTGGGACAGGGTAATAGTCGCTACTTGAATCGAACCATTATGCCTTCCTCCATCTCCGCTATTTCCGTACCAATTTGGATGCATTGAGCAATATAGCCGAGGTGTGAAGAGTTATCTGTAAATGATGAGCGATCCAGTGATTAGTGATCGTTCGGGGACGAAAAGCCCCATATCAAGAGGCCATAGGTGTGTTTCAGCACTGGCATCAAGTAAACAATTACGTGTTTACTGCAGCTTGATCGTATTGATTCACAACATCTACTGAGGCCGTCAATAATCTATATTGGCGCTTTGATGCGGCAAGGACTCACGAAAACTGAGAATCCAGCGTCCGATCACAATGGTCCACATTGACTATTCACACTGTAGAACCTCGGATTAAGGGTAATCTTGGACCATTCGAAAGTGCGCCGGGCGAACAACTTCTTCGTACTCCTATGACGTCTACCACCTTTCGACCTCAGAAGTTCGGCCCGACTCAATTCGACAGGACAACTCGGACAAATTACCATCCACAGCTTAGTTTTCAGTTCAATCATTGTACGTGGGTTCTGATGGTGACTGTAGATACATATGAATAAGTATATTGGTTGATGAATCTCCCTAGTCTTACCTTGGTGAATCAAAACAGCTTCCTAGCTGAGTATAATATACTAGTGGAGACAATAATCCGGTTCATGCTACCAAAGAGTAAAAGAACAGACCTTGAGGTTCGAATAGAGATCAGAATAGCTAGCTAGCTACAAATAGTCTACATCAATGAATATTTTTATGGAGGTTTGAGTTAGTCCTACACAGTATCTCCTGTCTGTCTCCGCTGTTCTCTTTAGTGAGTATGCAAACTTCATCTCCTTATTGCCTCTGAAATGACGATCCTCTGCTATTCCATCGTTTGAAGGCTATTTCGCTCTGCATCTGGGGCTGAAAGACGGGGGCTGGGCTCGGTCCGGCACGGTCTGATTCGGAGAAGATACAGCTCAAGATAACCGAAAGTTGATGTAAAAATGCATAACTACCAGTGACACTCTGTTGACGATTAATATACCAGGGCAATAATAACTTTACACGCTAAATGGGGCTAGGAGCAGTATCCTCAGAAGGTCTGGTCAATGAAGATAAACTATTGTAACATAGACTTCTTGCATTTTGTTTCGGTAACCTGTTCAAAATTGAAATGACCCCTCAAGCTTATAGTCTAGCGCTGTAACGTTCTGATGTCCCACCGGGACGTCTCATCTTACTCTCTAGTTTTTATCTCAAGCAGGGACGACAATGCCCCCGTCCTTCCACGAGCTGCCATCATAAATCTTGGTGGCAATGGCACCAACGGGGTTCAGACTCTTGTAGAACAGAGTCACTTTGCCATTGATAGATACAGCAGTCAAGTGTGTTCCGGGGTAAAAGGGTGCAACATCAACTGTATTTCCATCAATACGGTCCTTGATTTTGGGAGGGCTGCTTCTGTCCGCGTAAAAGACATGTTTTTTGCCATTGTTCAGCGTAGCAAGGGGAGTACTATTTTCCACTTCACTTGCTGGGATAAGGACCTTCTCGTCTGGCCACGGAAAACTAGTCAGATATTTTCGTTATAGACATGCCTCGTGAAGGATATGCTTACCATGCCATTGGTTGTCCTGACTGACCCAGTGATTGACATTTTCCTGATGATCCTGGTAATACAGGTCGATGGTCCCCTTGACGATACTACTCGCCAGATCGGTCCCTGGGAGTGCCAGAGTGATCTCAGGTAACACTGTTTCGGTATTCCACGGACTCTTCGGGGTACGGCGAATCTCGGTGATTTGTAACTGATTACCTTTCGGTCTTTTTGACGTCAGTAGCATTTCAAGGAGTGTTGTGAATGGGAGGTCTGACGTGTTGAAGTAAACCCATTGGGATCCATCTGGATTCCAGTCAGAGCCATTGAAGGCTCCACCAGTGATCCGGGAGACCGACGCAGGGTCTGTCGAAATTCCATCCACTTTCCCATCTTTCCAGGTCCCCTCAGAAAGGACCTTGACTCTGTCAGCAACTTTAGCGCTGCGGTCAAGATAAACGACATGGATCTAGCTCAGAAGTCAGTTGACGACACCGCCCCTTATTACCCCTTGGGCTGTGAGGCGTAGACATACCGTCGACTTGTTTTGGAAATCCGCATCGTGTTCAACATAGTATGCAGTCAGGGCTGAGCCACCGGAGGCAGCGTTGCTAGTAACCGTCGAAGCCTTCGCTGTCCAGCTTGTGCCTGACTCGGAGTGAGCTTCAAGAATATCCTGACCGTTCTGATAATAAAGAAAGCCGTCTTTGCCATTGGTTGTGACAGCAGCCAGCGCAGTATTGAGAAGGGAGCTCATTTTGTAAGGTGGAGTTGACTGTATGATGGTACTATGCTTTCGTGTAGAAAAGAGACGGGTGCTTCGTTCACATTGAATAGAAGATCAGGCTGGGCTTTATATCTTGGAAGGAGCGGCTTTGAGAATGTGACACCCAATTACAAAGACAACAGGAGCGCCATTATGAGGCCAATAGCAACAAAGATGATGTGCCTGAGAAATATCCAGGGTGCGGGGAACACAAAGTGTTGGCTGGAATGCAATGCCATCCTGTGAGATGTACTAGATATCGGGAGGAGGGCGAAGCAAGAGGCCGAGTGAAAATACGATTTAATGCATATTTGGCGGGTTGCGCGCTCTATGGCCGGAGCTAATGCTCTCCTCCCAAGTTTCAATGAACGAAGAGGTCGTGAAAACCACACTTCAGCCCCGACGATCCTGCCTCTCATGAGGTGATGCGATGTGTTTCTCCATAATAATATCCATGCACATGTATGTTGTACGCATCTCTGAGACCTGTTCAGCTATTACATGCGGAGACACTATCATTTGCTAGGTGCGATGGCGAAACCGCCATGGCTGGCTGATGTTTGTGAGGTGGAGAGTTCAAGTGGAAATTGTAAGAAACAGTGGTATCTCCATCCATGCATCTTTACATCATGGAGTGCAATGGATTTCACGAGGTGCATTACCATTATAAATCGAAACTATGCTGTACAGTAGCCTATTTAGCTCGTTAATTACCCATTTTGAACTAGAAGTTGCTGGACCTACTCCTGTTATGCTGTAAAGAGACATATATATATATATATATATATATCATAAATTCCATCTGCGATTTTATCCTCCCTTTTAGAACCAGCGGAAGTGGTGTCTATCCAGATAATGTTTTGAAGGCGGATAGTTTCAAAAAATGCCTCACGTTGGTCCATGACGCGAGTCTTCTACGTGTAAGGCATGCCAAGAGATGCAGCAGACAGCGTCTTCTTGCATGTTCATTCGCCAACCATGGTGTGCAAATTTGAAGCCATGCATTAGGGCATGCTTCTTCACCAACCGGACATCACGGAAAGTTAGATCCATCCATACCAGTCTGGATCATGTCCATCTTCCCTCGGCATCGCGTGCGTCCTTGGCCCTTCACTTCTTTCCTCTACGCCATAACGTGGCCATACGGAAAGAGCGCAAACTGGGAGATCCCTATAATTAGTACTAAAATCACATATCCTAGTTCCTTAATGTCATAGAAATTCCTTGACTTAGTTTGCATAGCCAGAGACTGGTAGCCTAAAATAAATGTGTTAGCGTAGGAAGGTAACTGAGCAAGTATAAACCCAATAATAATGGGCACACAGCCTCTGCCTGATTACGATCTTGTTTTATAATGAACCGTTTCGCTAGATTTACACAACAGGGCTTTTTTATACTATCTGCGTCGCTATCAAGCAGCGGGTACTACAACTGCTCGTCCACAGTCGGGATAAACGGAAACCCTTTCAAGTGTCGACTGCTACTGGACCATCTAGTGATTTCTATAGTACACAAAATGTGGGTTAGTTGACTTGTATAGCACCAGCTCCTAGAATAACTTGATCTATGCGCAGAAGCATTCGTATAGCTTCTGCGGTAGTATGTCTGGATAAATGGGTTGAAGACCGAGGTTGTGTCCGATCTACTATAGTGGAACACGGTAGCTGTTTCTCTGATACGAGAGGCTATAACACAGGTAGACTGTGTCTAAGTCACGAAAAAGCTTTGATTGTCCTGGTCGAATGATAAGATCCAGCTTTTTTTTCTTTCAGTGCTATTTTATGATTTCCAAGTCCTATTAAATTAGTATAAAAATCTGTTGTAATTCTTGATTTAATCATTGTTTCTGAACTCCGCTATTAGTGGTCTCTAGAGGGGTCCCTTGAACTTTTAGCTAATCGATATGTCTTGATAGTGGTAGTATTTCTTTCCGGTTATCAAATGTCTGAGCCAATTGTAAATGCTAGACGCCATACTCTGCTGCAGCGGACTGGTGTTTTCTTATGATGTACGCAATGCTGGAGAAGGACCCCTCCAGCCGTATGTGTTTGCCGTTTTCTTCATCTTCTGTCTCAGGCAGCTCATCGGAAACGCCGGCCTCTCTAAGAATGGAAACAACTTGCCTTGCAGCGCTAAGGAAACACGGAGTGCCTACCATATAGCAAATGCTCCTCAGCCAGCCATCGTGTTTGATGATGATGATGCTGCTGCTGCTGCTGCAATAGGCATTTACTAGCAGGGGCTGAAGCGTTAGAGGAGCCAATGAAGAATCTCTCACATTAAGCCACAGTCTCGGCATGCATGGACCCCTATAAAGCCTGTGACAAATATGACTTTGTTATTCCTTCTTCTCTCTTTCCTCCTTCTTAGCTAGGCTTAATCCAGGGTTCCTTCAAAAGTATTATTCTATTCTCTGGTTTTCCTATGGTTACGGTCGAGATAATATCGTCCTCGAGATGAAAAAGGGTAACCTGTATCCTCAGTACAATGCTGTTTTCTGGCTTCCGCCGTACGGGGATTCTAGGAGATATTCACCTAATGTTGCACTGAGCTTTGTCCGCCCTGAAAGAATTGACAAAGCCACATTTGTGAACCCTCTGTTTGCCCAAGCCAATTTACGTCATCAATATACACATTGAGGCATATACTGGGTATTCCTATTCGTAGCTTCATGAAAGATTCGACAGATCTCTCGAAATACCGTACTAAAGTGGTTCAGCTGGAAGTCGCCGTGTCGGAAGACCAGGCTGGCTGAATACCCTGGGGCTATCGATGAGATGAATACATCCCTGGGCTGGTACACCGTGAAAGCCATGGGCTTTAGAATTATTGGCCTTCTCGATTCATCTACGACAGGTATATATACAACCAACCTCTAACGAGATACACAAATGTTATAAATATGGGCTCCCGTCCTTCATCCTTTGCAGCAATCCATCGACACTTGAACATCACAATCTCCTTGTTCATTCAAACGTATTTTATCAGTTGAACACTTCCCCAATCTCGCCTGAATCTCAAACTCCCCACATGCATTTCCAAGCACTAATGCCCCTTATCCCGCTGTTTGCCAGCCTCACCGTTGGCCAGTCATCTACTACAGCGAGAGCACTTTATAACAAAGTCTGCCCTGAGGACGACGGATAGGAGAAATCAATCATTTCCAAATGTCTTCGCCACGTATTACTGTGACCAGCGGCCAGTCAGCAGAGACAGAACGGTCATATCCGCTAGGAGCCCAGACGAATACGCCACCATATGCAGTCACAGCGCTAACTGCGAAGCCAGTTTGTGGGCTGGTAAAGATACCACGGCCGGCCGAAAGGCGAACACAGCCAAATCTTGCGTTCTTTACCACAGCCTGAGAGGTCCCCTCATCCCTGAGTTGGACGTTGTTTACATGACTCATCGAACAAAGGAAGACCCCCTTTTCCCAGAGGAAGATCATGAGTGCAAGGATGAAAATGTCCAAATTGGACATTTGCAAGTCCAACTTCATGATCTGAAGGGCCAATTGGAAACTTGCCATGGGAAAGGTGAAAAGGAAGACTTCAAGTGCCCGGAATACGACCAAGACCATATCTATGACCGAGGATATAATTACAAGGTTTACTGCGGTTTGCGTAAGTAGCTCTATTCTTTCGTGTGCATCTAGGATGTAGTGTTCTAATGGAAGTATCACTAGTCGACGACGCTGGTTGGGCTTCAGACGATCTCGCTAGATTCGGCGACAAGACCCCGAAAGAATGCGTTCAGGCCTGTACTGATACACAGAAGTGCAAGCGTGCCATCTGAAAAACTGCTCAACCCGCAGACAAAAAGGGGCCCTGTTGGCTCAGAGATTACACTGTGCGAGCCGGTCCTGTCCCTACGAAGAAGGCGGTTTATAGCAGTGCTCACCTGCAGTGAGGCCATGAAATAGCAGCGTAGCTGCTACTCTTAGAGACAGTTTGATCATTTGCTGCATACTAAGGATTCTTTTCCAAGATGTGAATGGTATTCTGGGAAGTAATTATACTTTTGCTTGATATTCAACATATCGACCATGGAATGACTATCAATGGTTGTCGCCCAATTTCCTTTGTTTGACATTTACTGGAAAGAAAAAGAGACAAAAAATGGCTACTGTTATTAGTTATATTTTCACCCCTGTCTTGTTATTCTTGCTGAGCTCCTGCTGTCCCCTATATGAGCGATTTCAACATTTAATGGTCCTTATCTTAGGTCAAAGCTGATTATATATCTCCATCAAACATGACCGTCCCATCTAGTATCCAATTGGAAAGAGGCGAAACGAAGCTTAAGAATTTTCATTAAGTGCCATTCCATCTGTGCAATCCCTTCCCTTTACTGGGGTTTTTAGCTAGTTCACATTTCGCTTCTGTATCACGCGTCTTCAACGCCTACTAAAACTGCCAACAGTCCGCTAAAATCATACCAAAGTGATCTTGAGCAGGATGCACAACTAGCAGTTTTATAATATGTACTGTATTTCCGTATATTAATGAATAGATCTAGTTATCTAGTACATATCAAAGCGTACATCGTATAATCATAACTGATTCTACACATATGAACAAGAACAATCGGTATATTCTGCATCTCAAACACTCCTCGTAGGATCATCACTCGAATAAACCGACATCTCAACCTGTTTCGTAATCCCTCGATCCGACCGATTTGACGAAGTCTGATGGCTACCGATGACCGTGTTGTGCGAAGAAGGGTTCAGAATACGCTCAATACTACAAGTTTCGGCATCGTTATTCGTCGCTAATTTACGGCGCGACTGAGCGGTATTATTCTCACCTGTGCGACGATTCCCAGTGAAGGGACTGCGCAGTTCATATGAACGAGAGAAGCTGTGACTGGAGAATTTCTTGACGGATGACATGACCAGCGGCCGGATGCAAGGGATCGACGAGGTGATGATGATAACGGCGTTTTCCACGTAGCCCCAGCGGATGAGCTCAATGCCGCCGGAGGCACCGAGGTTTGTGATGCTCGGCAGTTGGTTTAGTTTCGTTGTTTTCACGATAGATGCTACCATGGCTCTGAGTAATTGGATTAGTGGGTGTGCGCTTCCCGGCCTTGGAGAATTGGAGAACTTACACAAGACCCAGACTGAGCAGAAGGATTAAGCCGAGTTTGACGCGGGTTTTCAAGTTGAGATTCCAGAAGACAGGAATTGGGAACACGGCCAGAAACAGGTCGGTGGCTGAGTTGACGGCTGGATGGCAATTAGTCACGCAGTCTTGAGAGAGAAAAGGCGAGTAGACGTACTGTTGGAGTAGTAGGCAAACTTGATGACTGCGTTACTATCGCCACACGTCGTCTTCACGGTCGGATCCCAAAGGATATTGACATTGCGACAGATGCTGAGAGGGAGGACAGCGGAGACGATGTTGCCGGAGAGCTGCCAGATCATAATAAACCATAATGCGAATTTGTACGTTTTGTTGGAACCGAGAATAGCGAGAAGGTATATGATAAAGGAGCAGCGGGCAATTGTAGTGCTCATAGTAACAATAGGAATCTCGATAGCGATGCTTTTCAACACGGCTTCCGTGTCCTTCAACGGCAGGGTCTCCAAGTTCTTGCCAAAACCATGGTTAACTGACAAGGTCAAAAACACTGTTGCTACGATAGCCAGAACCTAGATGAGTCAGTTGACGTAAACCTTTATATATGAGAGAGGCCAACAGGCAGCATAGAAATAGCAATCAGTATAGAAGTGGGAAATGGCACATACCATAGCAAGGATCATCAAAATGTCATCCACGCGGAATTGGCCGATCTTCACTTTAGCGAAGACCCTGAGAATGACAATCAGGGCCGCAAGGGCCACCGCGACCCAGATTCCCTTCTGGAGGGCTGGGCCGCCATCGGGTTCACCTGCGCCCATGACTTTGCGCCCTGAACAGGACCTGGAGGGTGAAGGAGAGTTACAGGTGGTGTACTTATTAACAAGGCCTATTCAGGCAAGACATGGTGGAGGCACAGCAGTGTCAGTCATATTGGACTTGGGCTTGCCGACTAGTTGGAGCGGCACATATAACTAGTTATGACATTTTAGAGTTTGAAGAAGAGATCTCAATCCGGGCACGAGCTGCCTAAACTTTCCGGCTGGATCGAAGGGTAAGCGAGTAGGAAACCAAGGTTATACCGAATCTTCTAAGGATCCGGTATTGCTTGTGACCCCGAAAGAAGAATTCTTGACAAATAGCGCCCTCGGCATCGGCTACATATCCAGCCAGGTACCCGGTCGTGGCTGATTTAAACGAAATTGGGCGCTCTCTTGGCTTTGCTATTGACCATAGGGTTGGGTTTTGCGTAGCTGAGATTTGAGCATGTCTCTTGGGAACCAAATATTGGCGTGGGTCTTTATTGAACTTTAAAAATACCGACTACCAACCATCGGACGGGCCTCAATAGTACGAAAGAGGTCCCACTGTGCATGATTCACGCCCTGGCCGTTGCGCCGTGAGCTACAGCCGTTTTATACAAATTCAGCTACAGTGGAATCTACAAGCGCCGGCCAAAATTTCATGCCAATGTCAATCTGGTCGATCAGAGGACTAGAAATTGGAGATCAAACTGTTGACAACACTCATATTTGGACGACATGACAGAACCTTGCCACCGGATTAACGGAAATGACCCATTCCTTCCAGGATCCGCCGGTTGTTCCAAACCCTTGTGTGCCGTTCGGCGTATACGAGTTTTCAGATTAAGGTGGGTTACATTGGTGCGCCCTGACTAAGGAGTACTGTAGGTAAAAAA